ATAGCCACTGGGACATCATCTGGTTTGTGTCTTGTTTTTGAAGCTTTGAGCGTCTGCTGTTGCCATCTTAGCTTTTTGGAAACCTTGGTTTGGGGTGGCAGTGAGGATTATTATCACTTTGGACACCAGTGGGGACTGTAATTTACAAAAAAACCCATTGAGTATGGCTGTAATAGCGATTAAGATCATGAGCGCTTTGGCTTTTTTTCAGGACATAGATCAGGGCATCTAAGGAGTCATTTTTTCCTGTTGACTTCTATACATTCAGACATTTGAAACCACAGCAGTCCCCCCGGCCATTAAAAAACAGATTTAAAGCATGCTCACTTTGGCTTTATTTTCAGACCAGTAAGTTATGAAGACTCGCAGCTTCAGGTTGAGTCTGCCTTGCATCACAGAACAGCAAGACTGGGCCATACAGGAAATGAGAGGGTAATGATATTAGAAACGCATGCTGCTGCTTGGGACAGCTGGCAAGAATATAAGACATTGCTGAGCTGAATTTGGCTTTGTCGCGTTGCAGAAGCTTCCTGTCACGTTGAGAGCTTTGAAGTTTCCTCAGAAGCCACCATGCTTGCTCTTTTTTCTTTGGGTAACCTCCATGTGCAAATTTCTGATCTCTAAATTTCCAAGAAGCTCAAGTAGGAAAAGCCAAAACAATACAAGCAATTTACAAAACAAACCCACCGATGTAATATGTGTGGAAGAGGACCAAGGGCAGCCTCGTCAGATAAGGCTTCCTAGTTATTATTGGTTGTATTTGTCAGTCTCCAACAGTGCAGTCCCAAAAGATATAAACACAGACAAGGTAACGAGAAAGACAAAACGAGAATCTGAGAAAACACTCAGGAAGATTGAATAAAGGACAGAAAGCAAAACCAAAGTGATAAAAGCCAGCCAGGGAGAAACAGATAAAGACAGAAATGAAGGTGCAGCAGACAAATGTAGAAGAACAAAGAGCAGGAGGGTTGGAGATCAACATTCAGAAGGTGTTTGCCTGAGAGAGTGGAAACAGTGCAGCAGTGATGGATTGTGTTTACTCCTCGTCTGTCCCCAGCTTTATTCTTTTAGACTCTCCTTTCTACTCCTTTTCTCTTATGTCCTCCAAACTTCTCCTCTCCTGTCTTTAGTCACTCTTTTTGTCCTACTCTACTCAACGCCTGTCTGCACT